AACTTCCTTATAAGGATCGTTTAGCAGATAAGGAAGGAATGTTTGAGACTTGTGTGCTAATAATCTTCTGCTATACATCTCATTCTGGACGGCTACGGCCACTAAGTATCCTTCCCTTGTTAGACCATTCAATCGTGCTTGATCCTAATGAGGACATTGCGGTATAATTAATCACCAGTGCGCTTTTTGTGTCGACGACTGCCCCTGCATTACGCGAACGTTTGCAACCGCTATCTTAGTTTGGGAATGGACCATGCTATGCCGCGTTCAAACCACATCGCACATTGAGTAATTTTACATATAGTCCTCCTCAACTAGAATAACGGTCAGATTTTGACTGTGGCAGTGCGCTCCGATGCCTATGAGCCGCTGCGCGTGAGGACATCTGCGACAGAAATCAAACCGTAATTATTGATGCCTTCCAGTCTCATTTGAGTCTGTCATACATGCATGTACCTATATCGTGAAGGGTACTTTCAAAAGTAAAAGATCCGAAATTTTCTGTCAGACATATCCTGTCATCTGGAACATTGCGTTTGAGTCTATTTATTTGTTGACTGCATAAATGTTATATCGAATATAGACAATGATAAGAAATGAGGCGTTGTTAATTAATGACATCATACTTTGACGATGGAATGAATATCACCCGAACTACTCAATAACGTCGATTAAGAATCCTGGATGACAATCAGGGAAATTTTCTGTTGACGCACATGAAAGAGATGCGCGGAGTTGCCCATGTCACACAAAGGAGATTGCATCCAAGCACCTATTTTATGGTCTCGGTTTATGCCCAACAACTAGGTTTGGATTCCACATTAACATGTCTTTCACGTCCGTGAAAGGTTGCTCACCTTCCTCAATTATGTAGGATAGTGTCATGCATGCTTTCTTCTGTGGGTTATGTTTTTTCTGATCACTTTTGGTACATACAGGTAAGTATCTTGAACTGCACAAAAATTCTAGAAGCGAAATTCTTTAAAACCTATATAAAGCTTGCCTAGCTGCTCGCTTTGTGCTTGGTAGTAGTTTTGATTATGATTTCGTAAATGGTAACACTGCAATTCAAATTTATACAATAAATATGAGTTTCACTTCAAAGATTGCTCCAGACAAAATATATTGACTATGAGATAGGGCGCCAAGATGGGCATCTAAATCTCAAATATTTTCGAAATTGCATAGTTGATATTGAATAGAACGCAGTTTTGTAGTTTTGTCTGAGCAATGCTTTCTTTCAAAAGCCTATGTAAAATCAGCTTGGAGATCATAAGAGCATAAATATTTCCATTTGTAGCACCATATAATAAATTAGCAACCTTCAAATTGTTCAGTAAAAAAAAGAGAAGTTGGCTAAGCGGTGTAAAGAGAGCTTGAGAGTTCATGGTTAGACGTGACGAGTATAACAGCGAGAGTGGAACCAGCGCCAAGGCGTGGAATGTGGAATCCATTTGCGGTCAGCGATTTATCGATGAACCTCTTCGAGGACCTGCTTGAATACATGGAAGACGGCTGCCTTTTGCGAATCATACTTCCACCTTCTGAGGTTTCTTTGAGGGATCGCTTCGTGGGCGGAGATTGGAATGAGACGTTGCGATGAACCTTTAAAAAAACGAATTCAAAATATGACAAACTTATTCCCAACTTCCACCAATTTCACACTATTTACCATAAAGTAATTACCTTCACTTTAGTACTTTCTGGCATAAGGGGAAACAATGTATTTCCCATTGGTATTTTATTCTCGGATTTCCTACTTGACGACAACATATCGGTATCACTTCGATGCGTGGAATATCCTGGAAAGTCGTTGTTGCACAACGGAATCAGCCTTAATCAAGATTCTTACCTATTGCACCGCGTCCACATAAAGCTTTTACAGCTTGTGACCGATTGAAGAGTATATACACCCATGGGTTTACGCATGAGTTCAGATTTCCAAGAATCATAACGTAAATGCTTAGACTTGCACCTATAAACTCATGGCATTGATCTATTTATGAAGTAAGGAATTAGCTTAGATTAAAACCAACTCAAAGCGTCGGGTTTAATGGCTTGAATCATGTTGACGACACAAAATGGCATCCACAAGAAGAAGTTTGTAGCGATAATTGTCATCGTGAGCCTCACTGAAATACGGTTAATCTAAGCTTCTTGTTGTTCATCTGGTTTAGTAGGGATAAGTCGCTACAGTGAACTGGTTTGAAAGAAGGAAATGAGGAACATTGAGAGTCAAATACTGCTAGCACGAGGAAGCAAACTAAACATTT